CGAAACCAAACGCTTAATAAAATCAAGCAGTCCTTAAGACAATGTTATTCGACTGTTATAAAATAATTCAATCCTTTTAGAATTTCTTTTTGCTACTTGGGAAACCATTATTGGACGATTTTCAATTCAGGTTACGGATGGAGTCTTCCAGGTTCTTGAGTTCCGCTTTAAGTTTGTTTCCACTTGGGAAACAGAACGGTTCTGGTCCAGTTAGTGTAGTATTCGCTCCCTTTCTAGCTAGATCATTTGCTTTTTCATTACCTTCTATTCCTTGATGGGCTGGCACCCACAGTAGGAGGTCTTTTTTTCTTTTCCTAATTTGTTCAGCTTCTCTAGGCATTCTTTGATCAACTTCAAATTGATGGTTACCGAGTTGATCCCTCTTAAGGCTGTTTTCCTATCGGATAAGATAGCTATTTCTTATTTCCCATAGTTCCTATCTGAGATAAGCTGTATGCATCTTTTGATAGCGTAGATTTAATAGAAGCTCCTGAGCAAACAATTATTCCAGTATTGTTTCAGTCAATGACCATTATAATCATTGCCGCATTGGCATACCTACCAATGACCATGTATATGTTATGGTTAAGGTCCGATTAATGTTGACATAGTCGGTTAATCTCGAGAATAACACATAATAAAACAACCAAAAACATAACCAAACCCAAACATTAACCTGCTAATGTCGACATTACCCCGATATCGGACTTTAACCGTAACATATATATTTGAAATTTCAATATCATCTCCCTTTTTACATGGGGACCAAAAGAAGATTTTCTTAATTTTTCAGATAATATTAAAAAACTATATTTTGTATGGGACTTCATCAAAATGAGCGTCTATGTTGAGTAAAGAGTAACTATACCAAATTTGGTCTCAATAATTTGGGGTATATTTTTAGAGACATCGTGAAGAGTCACTGAGTTGCCAAATCGTTTTTATTACACTCAGCGGCACGAAAACGTATTTATGTTCAGGTATTTTAAAGTATTGTATATTGTGTTCTAGCGAACCGATTTTGATGATTTTTTAAGCAATTTGTAGTTAAGTTATTTGGCTTTTTAGTATCTCTTTCCAAATTAAAAATGAAAGTTGTCATCTGTCAATTATACGAGGGAAAACAAAATGTTGATATATTGGGTGACACTTTGAAACACCATGTGGAGTACATTAACAAAGCAAGGAATTTAAAAATAATTTTGTCATCTAGGTCTTTTCTTCATAGTTTGTTTTTTATTCATCCCAATAGCTTTATTTTTGTTGGAGGTATTTGATTTCGAATAATTGAATTTAAATATTTTAAATTAGTTTTTTCTTTATTGTTTGTATTTTTTTGGCCCCCGACGACGGAAAGATAAACTTTCCGAAACGTTAAGCATTTTTTTCATTGTTAGGCAAATTTGTATAACTGTAAACATAACTTCTGACAAGCAGTGTCCGTTTAGGTTTAACGCCAGAAGTGTTTACAAAAAATAACTATTTTATAAATAAAGTAAGATAAGTAGATTTTCTTGCAGACTAAAAGTAGATTAAACCAGAGTAGATTTTCTTGCAGGCAGTGGCGAAATACCCATAAAGGATTTTTTTGGAGAGATATTCCACAGGGTGTTTCAAACTTTCACCAAAACCACAACATTTTGTTTCGCCTCTTATAATTGACAGATGAAAACTTTCATTTTTAATTTAGAAAGGGATACTAAAAAGTCAAATAATTTAGCTACAAGTTGCTTAAAAAATCATCAAAATCGTCCCACTAGAACAAAATATATTAAACTTTAAAATACATAAAAATTATAAGGTGTTCGTTTTTCGTGCCGGCGAATGTAGATAGATAATCAAGGTTTCCTGGCAGGACATATGACTGTCTAGTGCTACCTACAAGCCCAACCTGCATCAAGGAAGTATTTTTGTAGACTCTGCGATAAGGATCATAAGACTGCATTCAAAACGAAGTTATATTTTTCGTTACTCTGAGGATTATTCGAACGTTGCGAGCATTTTATTTTTCGTTTGTTATGAACGCGGAGGAATATTAAATTTCAATTGTACATCTAGTCGGCAATTATCTATTATTTGTGCGGTTTTGCTCTCTATCTCTCCGTCGTAGTACCGCCATTGTTACGCGAAAATTTAAACAGTTAATGCCAAATGTAAATTGGACCTTTTATTTGCCGAGCCAAAATTCAATTCGATATATTTGTAAGTAGATTATCGGAAAATGTATGAAAAATTCAGGAAAATCCACGATATATTGACGGTAAAATAGTGTAATCATAATAATAATTTCTCCAAAAAAGTACTATGGGTATTTCATCACTGTAAGAAAACCTACAAAATAAATTAGTTATTTTTTGTAAATCCTGTCAGCAGTGGCAAATTGTTAATTGTCAGCAGTGGCTTACTAATAAACAAATTTGCCTAATGCACAAAAAATGCTTAACGTTTCGGAAAATATATCTCTTTCCGTCGTTTTGTTTTCCTAACCTTCTTATTTTTTCCGAAATGCCTCGTATGTATGGAATTGTAAGTTGTACACCGAGTGTTGCATAGTCGAGCGGGACATAGGAAATCCCATGTAAATTTTAATGGGGTCAGTAACTGAGAAGCCAATAATTATTATTGGCTTCCCTAATTATTTTAGAGAATAATTCTATTTAGGTTTATTGAAGAGCACTAAAACCCACATTCAAAAGAATAACTTTAGATATTTTTGATTAGCCCGTTTACGAGTTATTGCCGATTTCTTTTCAAATATTTCTCCTTTCTTAGGGCCCTGTATTTACTTATGAGCACCAGTCAAGGTAAAAGATAATTGTCAAATGAAGTTGTCATTTCAGAAATTTATCTATTTAGTGTTTTATTATTATTATTAAAAACTCATACCTACATCGAAAATATTAGCCATGAATTACATTACCGAAGAAAAAGTATTCATGATTAAGTGGTATTATCAAGGAAATAGTTATCAAAAGGTGTCGGACATGTTTGCTGCTCTGTATCCGAATAGACCGATACCTGGAAAATCTACAATCGCAAGGAATATCCAGAGATTTGAGACCAAAGGTACCCTAATAAATAACTGCAGATGTGAAGCAAGGCAGGAACAAAGAGAAGATGCAAGAAATGATACCGACTTGGAAGTTTTATTGTGCGTGGAAGAGAACGATGGAAAGATTAGCACAAGGAAACTTGAGGATGAAATAGGAATAGATCACACTACAGCGTTTCGAATTTTGAAACGACATAAATACTATTCCTTCAAATATGAAAAGCACCAAGAGGTACGAGATGGGGACGAAATACGGCGACAGGCGTTTTGTTTTGATATGATGGAAAGAGCAAACACGGATAGGGAATTTTTAAAAAACATATTTTTCACTGACGAATGCACGTTTACCTTAAATAATGAACCCAGTGTTCAAAATTATCGATATTGGAACAAAGAAAACCAACACAGGTTTGTCGAAACAAGGACGCAATATCCACAGAAAGTAAATGTTTTGGCACTGATATTCGCACACAATATTATCGGGCCATTATTTCTTACGCGAAATTTAAATGCAGAATATTATTTGGAACTACTCGAAAATCATATTTTGCCTGCTTTACATGATGCCGCTAGGGAAAATCAGGGAGTTTGGTACCAAATGGATGGCTGCCCGGCACATAGTACCCTGGCTGTTCGGGAATATTTAGACAATAGTTTTAACGGAAACGTTATTGGCCTAAATCATACAGGAAATTGGCCAGCAAGGTCTCCTGATATTTCGCCAAATGATTTCTTTCTCTGGGACCATTTAAAAAAACAGGATATACAAGGATAAAAAATACCCAAATCTAGACGAGTTAAAAAATGCTATTTCTGTCGAATGCAATAGAATTTCAGTTTACCAACTAGCGAATGTAAGAAGAGAATTTAAAAAAATACGCAAATCTAGACGAGTTAAAAAATGCTATTTCTGCCGAATGCAATAGAATTTCAGTTTACCAACTAGCGAATGTAAGAACAGAATTTTATGATCGCCTGGGTTATTGTCTAGCAGTCGATGGAGGAATATTTGAACATCTTCTTAAATCCTAAAGTTCTAGCAATTTAATAGTACCTAAATTAATAAGTTATTGAATATTGTAATAATACTATAATTAACCTTGTAATTGATTACTTTATTTTACTTTAATTCATATTAATTTATATTTATAAATACATCTTTAAGATTTCCGAGGTAGGAATGAGTTTTCAATAATAATAAAGCACTAAATAGGTAAATTTATGAAATGACAACTTCATTTGACAGTTATCTTTTACCTTGACTGGTGCTCATAAGTAAATGCAGGGCCATAAGAAAGGAGAAATATTTAAAAAGAAATCGGCGATGACTCGTAAACGAGCTAATCAAAAATATCTAAAGTTATTCTTTTGAATGTGGGTTTTAGTGCTCTTCAATAAACTTAAATAGAATTATTCTCTAAAATAATTAGGGAAGTCAATAATTGACCCCATTAAAATTTACATGGGATTTCCTATGTCCCGTCCGACGATGCAACACCCTATTGTGAATTGTTATCATTGCGTGTATTCTGTCTATGATTTGGGGTTTTTATTTCTTTTAATGTTTTTTCAATAAAAGATGGTGGTTAGTCGTTTTTTATTAATGTATTTTTTTTTGTGGTTTATATCTCTGTTTAGTGAATTCTCGTCTGAACATATTAATTTTGCCCTATCATAAACTTTTTATACAAAACTGCAACACCTTTTTTTACACTTATGCTGTAATTAGATCTGAAATTTAAGTATCTCTCTGTATTTGTGGGTTTTCTGTAAACATCTAAAATTAGTTTATTTTGAAACTTTGATATTAAAACATCGAGAAATGGCAAACGATTATATCTTTCTACTTCTAAAGTAAATTTTATGGTTGGTTCGCGAGAATTTATATAATCCAAAAAACAAATATTTTCAATAACTTAGTAATAATTTTTGAAACTTAATTTTTTAGGATGGATGTGACTGTTAATGAAATGGACATTGGTTTTGTTTCATGGCCAATGGTCAGATACAAGAGAGAAGTTCTATTTGGATGGGTCGATTTACTTGGTAAAAAAGAATAATATATTATATTATGAATAAAATTTAATATAATTTCATTTTTACAGTGTCTTTTGGAGGCATTGCTGGATTATTCCTTGGTTTCAGTCTATTATCAGTTGTGGAAATATTTTACTACTTTATCATTAGGGCTTGTATAGCTGCTTTCAAAGAGAGACCTCAGCTAGACAGGTATCATTAAACATTAAAAAAAGACAAAAGGGGGAGTAGAATAGTTTATTCTTTGAACAGTGCCATATGGAGAGAGAAACTATTCATTTTGATAAGATTTTTTCTTTAACTGAGGCAAACTAAAATGGTACAACGGATATAAATGTATATGTTACGGCTAAAATGGATACTTGGCTAGTTTGAAAACTAGCCAGCTATTTTGCAAACATACAGCACAACTAACACCACAAACTAACACCTTACCAACAAAATAACAGCGCCTTTTGCAAAATAGCTGGCTAATTTGAAAACTAGCCAAGTATCCATTTTAACCGTAGTATAATTAATTTTTTTTTCAAACGTCACAAAGGTATTAATTTTTACGGCGTGATTGACAATACTGAAAGACATTTTAACGCCTAGGCATAAAAGTACGAAAATATGTTATTAAACTGACAGAAACTGTCAAATTCAACGAGCCATAGTTTCTCGATATATAATTAAATACAAGTTATTACTTGTAAACCTTTTTATATTATTTGGAACGTTTGAAATTGTTTAAAAAATTATTTGTGGCGTTTAAAAAAAATGAGAGATCATGTTCTATTCGGAGTAAAAATGCCTTTTTGTGCCTCGGCTGTATGTCGGACTGTATGTGGATATCGCCACAGAAGGTGCCATTTTTACTCTTAATAAAACAATATTCTATTTTTTTTTCTTTTTATTTTATAGGATAAAAAAGGAACAAGAGTCCAGACCAATACCTCCTTATGACTTAAGCCTTGTTCCATATTTCTTTTCAGATCCTTTGCCAGGTGGTGGCATTGACGTTATATTAAAAATATACGAAAAAAGTACATTTAGAAAAATGTTCAATAAAAATGTAAGTTTGTTTTTATTATTAGTAGGTATTTACACGAAACCCCATTTTTTACTTAAAACACATACACATCAAACATGTTTATAAGAGAGTTTTAAAAAATATTAAAATAAACAATATTTAAAACAAATTTAAAATTAAAACTTAAAGAAATCACCGAAAACCCAAAATAATTTCTAGAAATACAAATTTAAAATTACCTTTTATTTATTTGTAAAAATTTGTAAAATGTTAAATTTCATTATTTTCCCCTGTTTTTCAGAAAATTGGATTTTCTCTGAACGGAAAACCGCCGGAAAAATGGGCAACAAGAAAAAATATCGTTTCCCCATTCGGAATAGAATTTGTTAATTAATTTTATAAACAAACACAATCTCTCCGCACGATATATTTTTATTTAAAACAAATTGCAAATACATTTACAGTTTTGTTCTTCGTAATAACAGTTTTATTTTTACCAAAATTTTCTATTAAATTGTAAAAATTTAATAAACATTTACATTCTATATAAATATGAAAATTTGAAATAATTTGTTTTGGTATTTTTTGTAATAGTATTTTCTCCAAAATTAAATTACTCTAAGCGTATTAAACAAGAGTATCAGTTTTAAATAAACAAATATTATTATTGAATATTTCGGAAAAGTAGAGCGTATGCAAGGATACTATAGAGATAAGGATAGTTCGATTCCTATCTTCCTGCACTGTCAGTTTTTTTACGTCATCTGGGGACCGAGTTGAAGTTGGCGCTAAAGATTTTAGACAGTGACAGTTATTTTTGTATTTGACGGACGAGCGCACAGTGCGTTGGAAGATAAATTTAGCGGGACAAAAGCGTTTGGTTAGAAATAAGCCAAAAAATGTGTACTGTAAGAATAAATAGTAGACATTCCAATTGATACAAAAATGCATAAATATTCTGTGTATTTCCATACATTTTTTGCTCAGCAAGGCAGAGATCATACGAAAACAAAATATTTACAAGTGCTTATACATTTTATTCCAAAGCCAAATTATGTTGAAGATTGCCAAAGGTATGTACTTTTCTACTGTACGTGTATTATTTGTTAAAATCCTTCATGCCTTTGTTCTGCAGATATCAAACTTTCACTTTTTTCAAATATCGATATATTGAATGATGTAGATCTTTTGAGTTACCAATAGTTACCAACACAGGTAGTCACAGTCACAGGGAGTTCAAGCTTAACAGGTGAATGCCCAAAAAGTTTCATTTCAATCGGATAGTATAAAAACAAAACAACTCCATCAAAAGGCACTGAGTTTAAAAAATTGTCTTAGATGCTTACTATATATGAATTTACAATTACCGAGTGTTAAAATTAAAATTAAAATATCTATCTTAATTAATATTTTTAAAGGAAAATATAATTTTTTAAAATAAAATATAGAGGGTGTCACAAGATTACAAAGTAATTAAAAAATAACTGCTAAAGAAGTTTTTGTAAGTATTTCACCTGATATCATAATTTTATGTATTTGGTAGTAGTTTACAATACGGTTTTTGTGTGTCATGTACGAATAATATCATAGTTTTATTATCTTCTATTTATTTATTAATAAATTAAGTTGTTAATAAATAAATAAATTTAACCATATAGTTGCTATATATTAGACCATTTGCTACGTTCTTAGATTTCAAGTCCCAAACATTGCTCTTGAGATTTTGTCCCGCTAGAATAACCATCCGCCACACTGTGGAGCGCTGGTCAGCGCGTGACGTAGCATTCCACGGCGATTACGACACCGGCGATTTGACGCGATCGAACAGTCCTTTAGAATATATACAGTCCTTGGAGCGTATGTAGTAATTAGAGTATGTAAGTACTTTATGTAGTAAGTACACATACAGTAAGGAAGTACCTTAAGTACACCGGTAGGAGCAAATCCTAGCAAATTTACAGGGTGTCCCAGAAATCAGTGCAAGTATTTTAAAGGGTGGTAGATGTTTGAAAATTTCCGAAAAAAAATGATTTTTTGCTAAAATTTTGAGAACCACTGGATCTTTTCTGGATTTTATTTCATGTAAATTTACATGTTATCAAGAAATTATGTTTCTTAACTTAAAACTAAAAAAAATCCAATTTTTTTTTTCAAAAAATTCCAAATTTTCAATTTTTTTTTTCGCAAAAATTACCTCATAGGCGTATTTCTGAGGCCGAAATATACTACCAGTTAAAATACTTGCACTTATTTCTGGGACCCCCTATATAATAATTATACAGGGTGTTTACAAAATTTACGTTTTATAATTATTATAAAACGTAAATTTTGTCTTAAAGTAAAATAAAACCAACAATTTGATTCATATTTATTTATTAAAATGTATCTTTCAAATTCGTATAATAAATATTGTTAATTATTTATCACTCTAAATGTTTGTACTATTAAATAGGTATGTCCATATATTACATTTTATTTTTCATTTTACTACATCATTTTACTACAATATTTTCATAAAATATTTCCAGATTCGAGTCAACACTTATATAAAGTTTTTTTTCTTTTCAGTTTGTAACAATGCCTCATAATTTTATATTCAAAATTATTAATTCTATATATTTAACTACAAATATAATATTTTTTTTATGCTTCGAAAGCCTTAAGGATCTTTATAAGAAAAATGGTAACCAGCACCATATGCTTACATTATGTTAAGTATACATATATACAAGAAAAATTACTACGTAACAATTCTAAGACATAGATATCACACTTAAAAGTTAGGAACAATTAAAAGAATATTATAAAAAAAGGTAAAACTTACACAAAATGATCTATTTTCTACTACTAGTTTAAGCAAGTTATAGTACGAGAACTAGCAACATTAGAAAAACAAGTATTTTAAGACGTCTGGCTCTTTGATATATCTTTTCTATGCTCTCTAGAACAGCATGCGGCCCGTCTAGCTACCGGTAAACGTTGCGTTCTCTACTGCGCATTGAAACAAGATCCTATATTTATTCAATTAAATTCTAGTATTGAATATTAAACGAACATGTCGCCATAGCGCAGTGCGTAGAGTTTCCGACCACGAACCGGTAATTCAGAGTTCGAATCCTGGTCAGGTCAAAGACTTTTTATTTTATTTTTGTTTATATTCTGATAGTAAAGTAATAAATAATTCTGGTAATTAAAAAAAACAAATATTTAATACTTTACTATCAGAATATAAACAAAAATAAAATAAAAAGGCTTTGCCCTGACGCGGATTCGAACTCTGAATCATCGGTTCGTGGTCGAAAACTCTACGCACTGCGCTATGGAGACATGTTCGATTTATATTCAATACTAGAATTTAAGGGACTAAATTAATAAAAAATATAGGATCTTCTTCCGATGCGCAGTAGTGAACGCAACGGGTATCGGCAGCCAGACGGGCCGCATGCTGTTCCAGAGAGCATAGTAAAAGATATATCAAAGAGCCAGACGTCTTAAAATACTTTCTCGAAAACGTTCTAGCTCTTAGACTATTATTTCCATTTTATAAACAGCTTTTATGGTTTTTCTAACGTCACTGTCATCTGTCATTTAAACGTCACATAATTATGTAGCAAAGGTGGTTTTATGTCAAAAGTTGATCTCTACCGTGTTCAATTAAAGCAACAGTAGTTACAATTACCTAAAAATTGATAAACATGTAATGTGTGACAATAACCGAAACCGACTAGTAACAATAGAAAGACAATTTTGTAACTTATTTTTTTCGTTTTATTGGGAATATATTTTTTATTTTTACAATCTTTTTTAAAGTTTTACAAGAGAATTATATTGCTATGTACAGGTTGTCCCACTAAAAATAGCTCTCGGCTGTATCTCGGAAAGTATTAGCCGTAGGGGCTGCGGAAAAAAATATTTATAACTAAAGTGGATATGGGATATTGCTGGAAATTATTTTCAAGTTTGTAGAACGACCGCTAGGGGGCGCAACTGCAACTAAAAATAAGAAAACGCAGTTTTTACACAATTTTGTCTAGATAAGGTGTACTATAAGTAATAGCTTCATAATCTTCAGTAAATTTTGAATATTTTTTGTTAAAGCCATTTTCCCCTATCTACCAAAATAAAGTGGTGGGGAAAGGTTAGATCTGTTTTTATTTAAATATTTATAACTCTGGACTGGATGATCGGAATTCAACAAACGAGGGCTCGTTTAAAAGAGAGTTTCTTACTCTATATTGTATCATATAAACAATAATAGTAAGCTTTTGAACTTAGACGCTAGGGGGCATTGTCTTACAATTTAACAAACATTGCGCGCTTTTTCAAAAAAATTAAATACAAAAGTATATGTAATTTTAGTTGATAGTAAAGAGTAGTAAAAGCTTAAAAAATCAGCAAAAACCGCATCTTGATATCTTCTTTCAAACCGAAGATATTAGCAAAATTATAATAAATACAAAAAATAAGCCCTTAATTACCTTATTTTTACAACACGGTATCAGTAGCCCTCTTGATTATGCCCATTCCAACAAAAAAATAAGATAGAAACAGTTAGTTTATTTTAAAATCGACGAAATACCAGAATACCATAATACCTGAGGTATTAATATCTAATAATTAAGATGTTAATAACAGTGAACAAAAAACGATGATTCAGTGAAGCCATGGTAGGCTTTGGAAAAAAGTTGCTTTTCACGTAATAGTATAAACCTCAAATTATTATTAGATCAACATTTTGATAGTCTTAGCCGCGTTTTTTATCTTTTAGTTGCTTTTTTCAAAATACCTTCATTATTTGAAGTAGTTGAAGTTGTTGGCAATTTGAAAAAGCAATCAAATAATTAAAAACGCTGCTAAAACTATCAAAATGTTGATCTAATAACAATTTGATGTTTATACTATTACGTGAAAAGTAACTTTTTTCCAAAGCCTACCATGACTTCACTGAATCATTGTATTATGGTATTCTGGTATTTCGTCGATTTTAAAATAAACTAACTGTTTCTATCTTATTTTTTTGTTGGAATGGGCATAATCAAGAGGGCTACTGATACCGTGTTGTAAAAATAAGGTAATTAAAGGCTTATTTTTTGGTATTTATTATAATTTTGCTAATATCTTCGGTTTGAAAGAAGATATCAAGATGCGGTTTTTGCTGACTTTTTAAGCTTTTACTACTCTTTACTATGAACTAAAATTACATATACTCTTGTATTTATTTTTTTTGAAAAAGCGCGCAATGTTTGTTAAATTGTAAGACAACGCCCCCTAGCATCTACGTTCAAAAGCTTATTATTATTATTATTTATATGGTACAATATAGAGTAAGAAACGCTCTTTTAAACGAGCTCTCGCTTGTTGGATTCCGATCATCCAGTCCGGAGTTATAAATATTTAAATAAAAACAGATCTAACCTTCCCCCACCACTTTATTTTGGTAGATAGGGGAAAATGGCTCTAACAAAAAATAGTCAAAATTGACTGAAGATTATGAAGCTATTACTTATAGTATACCTTATCTAGGCAAAATGGTGTAAAAACTCAATTTTCTTATTTTTTCTTGCAGTTGCGCGCCCTAGCGGTCATTCTACAAACTTGAAAATAATTTCCAGCAATGTCTCATAGCCTCTTTAGTTATAAATATTTTTTTTCCGCAGCCCCTACTGCTAATACTTTCCGAGATACAGCCGAGAGCTATTCTTAGTGGGACACCCTGTACAGTTTTAAGATACACTGACAAAAAACTGTCAAACAACTAGTACAAAACAGATCATTTTAGATTTTTCAGTGACATTATACTTGTGCTTGTAATATATACAATATTAACATATCTAAATGATTAAGTACTACAAAAATTACAATAAAACAGTACAATCATGACAAATTTAATCCTATTCTTCATATAAAAAAATTCTTCCTCTTCCTACCAATATCAAATACTTTCTTAAACCTCATCAGTCAGTATACATATATGTACATAGATAAACTTTCTACCTGAGATCACCTTCATTTCTACCGTCATCAACCCATCAACTCCCAACCTTGTATGTACAAAAATTGTATAAATACCTTACCTTGTAACACCAACCCTGTTCGTACAAAAATTTAAGTTTTTTTTGTACAAAATATTTACAAAATATCTCTAAAAAAAGTCGTATACGTGTTTCATTTGTCTGTGGCATTGGGATTGGTATAACTGAAGCCCTGGAACTGAACTTGGTCCATGGACTGCATAATTGGGGTTTCTATTGGGGTGAGTTTTGCACGTTCTGTAGTGAAGGTCTTGTCGAAGTATTGTGTGTCTAAGGGGTGTTGCTGGAAAAAGGTAAAAAATTATATTAGTATAATATTAAAAATAATTTAAAATATACAGGGTGGTCCGAAATGTATTCAGGAAACTTCGGTAGCATATTCTACAGATAAAAATATGGTAAGGAAGTTCGTATAAATGTATGTCTTATAATACTTCGTTTTAGAGGTACAGGGTGTAGAAGTTTTAGAGTAAGATGCACAATATAATTGTATTATACCAATTTTTACCCATCTCTTCAACTTTTCTTAGAAAATGAATTTTCTTATAACTTAGACTTCATTTAGTACATTTTACGACTCATTTTCTAAGAAAAGTTGAAGAGATAGGTAAAAACTGGTATAATACAATTTGATAGACAATTAAATTGTGCATCTGATTGTCGTAAAATATACAGGTTGTTCCATTTAAATTAAACAAGTTATTGCCGTTTAAAGCTAGTCATTATTTAATATAAATTTTTGGACACTTTGTATAAGGTATTATAATTTTTATTATTGCAACACAATATCGGATCAATAAATAATCTTCAGTAAATATTTAGTATCTATTAAAAAATTTGATACCCTTGGAGAAATAAAGCCTTAAATTTTTTACTGCAATTTCACAAAATTGAAAATATATAGTATGATAAACCTTAATCAAATTTACCTTTATTTCAATCGTAGAATCTAAAAATAGAATCATATACAGGATGTTCTATTTAAAAAAATACAACTTTAATTTTTTTTTATTTCTGACACTTTTTATCTTGTAAAATTATTTTTAAATTGTAGCTCTAATAGCCTTTAAACAAACCCAAAACTTACAATTTGTAAAAATCTCGTTTAGTTACAATACTCCGTGTCGTATGAGGTGAACAACCCTGTATATTTTTGGCATAAATTTTGACAACCATCTTTTATGGGTTTTATTTCTTGTAAATTTAATATACTACCTATGTTGCGATATTATAAAGATAATATCTATTATGTTTTCTAAATGAAAATTTTAAAAAATCCAAATTGTCAAAAAAAATGGGAAAAAAACTAATAGTTAGGTAGGTTTCCTGGGGTCGAAAAGTTAAAAAAATATATAATTTTCCTGTGGCGATTATTTCAGAATAGAAAGTGCAATAATAATTATTTTACTAATGCTTATTTATAATCTTTTTGATTATTAGAATGCAGAGACACTGAGCAAGATTAATAAATTCAAGAAAAAATACAACCAAAAAATAAAAATTAATTTCCTAAAAAATATTTGTCATAACATTGTAGGTTAGGAAACCCATTTTTTAATAGTTCATCATTTTTCAGTTTTCTTCATAAAAATATATACAAAACAGATATTTAATTAAAAATAGGAAAAAAGTAATAAATACACTTATATTAATAAAAAACAAATATTCGTCCAATTTTAAACAGCAGAAAATAGATTTGTAATTCTGTTTTATTAACAATGTTAAATTAAATTACAAGTCTGTATATTATCGTGAAACACAGTTTTATTTATTGCTAAAACGCCTACGATCACATACAAAACATAATCAATAAAAACTTAATAAAAAAACTCTATTACTTTTTCGAACAAAAACTCTATTATTAAGTTACAAAATTATTTTTGTCTGCTCCCGACGGTATATAAAAAATTTATGCCACACCCAATTTAGAGCTGTCAGTCATAATACCAATAAAATTGGACATATTAAGTACTCTATATATTCTGAGAAATAACACAAAATATTTAAAAAGTTTTAGGAGCTTTTGTTTTCATGTAAAAAAGTATCTAAAACTAAAATATATCTTTTTTCACGTGTATATGTCAAACAAATATAAAAAAATCCTTTAAAAATCATATGTATGTTTTTCATAATTTAGCATTAAGAAACATACATATAGCAAAATTTTCAAGAGATACTGTATATAATAAAATGTATTTGTTAGTCAAAAATCAAATACATTTTTTATTGTGTAAAAATATCAAAGTGATATAGATAGCAGATAGCTTTGAGGGAAAGAAATCGTTAAAAATAACAAGAAATTTCTCAAAAATCTTTATAAAAAACACTTCCTGCATTTTTAAATCCTTAAAAAGGTTGAGCAAAGTGATATTTTTATTAAAAATAATGTCCTAAACTCCCTCTAAAAACAGAAAAATAATAGAAACACGAATATACTTTTTATAAAAATAAAAAATGTTACATCGACATAATTTATAATAAACTAGCGTGTACCAGCGACTTCGTTCGCGTTGAATTAATCATTTGTAATGGTGATGATAAAGCAAAACAAGAATTTCCATTAATTTTGGAATTTGAGATTCGAGAAACCCCTCCTTATCGAACCTCTACACCCCACAGTCAATCTGTTTTTCAAAAATCAGCTTTTTACGTCAAGCGCTTTAAGCAGGATCGTGATTAATCAATGAGCAGATTTTTCGAAACACCCTGTATACATTTTTAAAAAATCTTAAAATATGTAAAAAAACAAAATAAAATATACGTGTTTAAGCGTTTTTTCGGAAACTTGACCGTTTTTTAAATAGAAAATATTGTAATATTTGAGGGGTGGTTTCGCCCTCTTGGAACTGGAATTTGGAAAAATCCCTTCTTACCGAACCTCTACACCCTAGAATCAACCTGTATGTCAAAATTGAGCTTCTTACGTTGAGTGGTTTGAGCAGGATCGTGATTAATCAGTATGTCAGTCACTTAAGGATTTTATATATTAGTATAGATTAGACTAACTTTAGTAGCGTAAAATTATCCATAGATATACATTCGTTATAGTAAAAATATTTATATTTTTACAAGTATTCTTCACACCAGCATATATCGTTCTTTCAAAATATTCCGCAATCTCGCGCTGACGAAACTTCAAGCTGCTCCGTTATTCATGGAAAATCTTTTAAACTTTTCTCCATTGTATTTTCCTTAGTACTAGTGTATCCACCACCCATACTTTTAGCAGTTGCTCATATCTCCCTAAGAGCCAACTAAAACTATAAATTCCAATTTGAGAATGGGGGGAGTCATAACTTTAAATTATATCAACTGTACCGTTGACAGTTCGGAGTCGAGATGGAAACTTTAGGGAAACTTTAAGTTTTTGGACGGTAAATTATATGGACGGAAGGAAATGGTGACCGTACGATGTTTCTTATATAAGTTTTTTAATTTACTCTTTTTTGGAGATATAACGTACTGATAGTAAAATAATAATGATACCAAAGTTTTAAAACAGCCTCTATACGATCCCCGAAATATTTTACGAAATATTTCGTGAAACATTTCGCAAAACATTTCTGGAAATACTTTTGGAAGTAAACTCAAATATAAGCCCGTGTTATAAAAATTAGTTCCCACGTTTATAATCTAGTCTATAATGAACAGTGCTTTTTCCATAAAATCAATATAATGAAAAATATACGAAATAATATACATGTACTGATTTTTTTCGAAAATCGACCACTATGAAACTATGAACCCTTCCCGGACACAAACGGTACATTGTGAGACAGGAAATTTTAGAGAGAAACAAGCCCTATAACATAGGATACAACATTTTAACGAACAGTGCTTTCCATAAAGGTCCATTTTCACGTTCAAGCAGCTTGCGCAAATTGATTTGTGCATGCAAATTTGCACCAATCGAACTGAATTGGTGTCTTCGTTTTAACGTTCAGTTTGAACTGCACAAATTAGTGGACAAGTGAACCAATAGAGTAGACCTGAATAGTTGCGATTCAACTATTGTAAAGTGTGTGCAGAATAATGGACCAAGAAGACTGTGTTTTAATGATTAAAAAATTAAAGGAGCCAAAAAAAACGCAGAGCCCAGAGATCTTGGATCGAAAAGAGACCTATTCCCATATTCATTTGATTAAAGAACTAGCAAATGAGCCGGACGATTTTCGTAATTACCTGCGCATGAACGAGACGACTTACCATGCATTTGTTCTCCCATAAATTCCTTTTCGTTCGACATTATTTTAACGTCTTATAAATAAAATAACAACAAATATTCAAAACGAAAAGCCGGATACAAGTAAATAAGGCACGAAATTCGCTGCTACAGACATGCGCGGAAGTAGGGGATTGTGAAGTGTCGTTTATACGTGCATGTATTTGCGCCAACCACAAGCAAATTATTTGGCCGTTCCAGATTCACTCAAGTCAAACTTTGTGGTTTGTGCAAGTTGCGATTTCGGTTTTCATACAACAAGTTACTGTGCAAATCGGACATGCACAAGCCAATCAATTGCATGAGCGTGAAAACGCACATTAAAATCAATATAATGAAAAATATACGAAATAATATACATGTACTGATTTCTTTCGAAAATCGACAACTATGAAACTCTGAACCCTTCCCGGACACAAACGGTACATTGTGAGACAGGAAATTGTAGAGAGAAACAAGCCTTATAACATAGGATACAATATTTTAATGAAAAGTGCTTTCCATAAAGTCAATAAAATGAAAAATATACGAAATAATATACATGTACTAATTTCTTTCGAAAATCGACAACTATGAAACTATGAACCCTTCCTGGAGACAAACGGTACATTGTGAGACAGGAAATTGTAGAGAGAAACAAGCCCTATAACATAGGATACAGCATTTTAATGAACAGTGCTTTCCATAAAATCAATAAAATGAAAAATATACGAAATAATATACACGTACTGATTTCTTTCGAAAATCGACAACTATGAAACTATGATCTCTTCCCCGACACAAACGGTACATTGTGAGACAGTTCCCACGTTTGCTGAAATTGATCGAGACGCGCCGTGATTGGTTCTTTGTTTTTTATTGTTAATCTGGGTTAACAATTTTGAACTAATTTTATATAGCACAAATTGAACTAATTTTTGTACCACGGGCTTATATTTATGGTGCTATTTTGTGAATTAGCACGAATCAATCAAGGTCAAACGTTGTGGTGGCTTCAGAAAAATGAGTAAACATGGAGCATGAATAAATATCATTAATTTGTAATGGAGTGTAATGTAATA